ATGGCATGAAAGTCGATGAAAATGTGCAAAGAGCATGTGAAAGCATCGTCTTTGACCTAGAACATTAAGGAAGTGATACGACTATAGGGGGTTGTTCAGATGATATTTCTTAACCTTAAAGTTCGAGTCACCAAATGAAAGGAAGTGATATATATAATTTTCACTTGATGTATCTGTTATTGCCTTTTCTATATGTTGTTTGACAACCAAAGAAAATAAAATATTTATGTCACATCAAGAATAATGAAAAATTGAATTTTTATGTTACATTTAATTCCTTTTTCAGGGTACACATGATTGGATCATGAAAACAAGCAAAGCTAGCAATTTACATGAAAATCTAAATCAAATTAATCGGTTTGGTTATTTTGAATTTTAGCCCTATAAATTGGGCTTCTTTTTTCATTTTTTCTTCTTGGAAAATAAAAAGTAAACAAAATATTTCTATCAAACCCTTTTAAAAAATTTAATTTGTAATTTCATACCAGCCACAATCATATGAAAATTTAGTAAGTTTATATAAGTACAATTACAAACCATCAATATTATAATAAATGTTACAAAAATAAAATAGAGTTAAACTTGAAAGTAGAAATCTATCTCATTCCTCGAACTTTTCAAGAATGATGCTCCATTCCATATCAGATCGTCAGAAAAGTACACTACTTTTGGAGGATAAGACATACACACGTCTAACATTTTTGAAAACTCCGAGCACAATCCTTAGAAATAGTTAAGAAAAGGTTGAAGTTCAATTTTTGTAGTTGAATGATCCCATTCCAAAGATTCCCACCAATCTTTTTCACTTGAATTTATAGCAATCTCTTTTAGTGTAGAAGGAATTTTGAGTTCCTCTTCATGTGAAAAAAACAAAGGCAAATTCCTTAACTTAACACATTCCTTAATTGACACTTTCTTGATTGAATTGCACTTCATTTTTCCATTGCATATGCTTTTCAATTGTGGCAAAGACCATAAGGTTATTCTTGTCATTTTAGGAAAGACGACGATTCCATCATTTTCTTGATCTTCAATTATTTCTTCGATTTGACTACATGATAGGACATATATCCTCTCGAGATGTCTCAGGTTTGAGCATAGATCAATTGGAAGTAGCTTCTTGATGTTGTGACATCTTTCGATACGTATCATTCTAAGGAGGGAAAAAGTACCAACAAGAGGAATTGAAGGACTCAAACTTGTTTCACTTTCATCAAAAATACCAACAAAACTAGGCAATTCAAAGAGATCAAGATGCTCGAGAGAGGGGAATAAGACGGATTCTTGTCCTTGTTTTACCTTCATAAGGTACTCTAGTTTGTTGCACCAACGAACTTTGAAGTACTTCAAATCTTTTGAATCGTATAGACATGACAAGAAGTCGGAAAGACAAGTACTAAAGTTGTTGCAACTCTCAATTTTCAAGTGTTGAATGTCTTGTGGAAGCAATAGTACTTCATCTTCTTTTCCAAGTCCATAACACTTGACTAATTTATCCGAAATTCTTCCATGATTGAATTCAATTTGTGTCATTTGTCCTAAACCATCATAGTCACCTACTAGAATTCTGTAAAACACGAGGCATCCTTCGTTTTCTTGAGCTCTGATGAACCGGTTGAAGTCATGAATAGTAGAGAACCTACCTTGAAACTCTTCCAACTCGTTTAACACCTCTAGTTCCTCACCTTGAACGTCTATATGATGCGATAACACTAGGCGTTGCAGAGTTGAGAGTTGGGGCAATATACCTATTGGTATCCTCTCAAGCCAACGCATTGCATACATACTCAGGCATTTGAGGCTCAATAGAGCCTCAAGGGATTCAGGCAAAGTCTGAATCCCAGTGCCACTCAAGTCCAACTCTTGCAATAACTCGAGCTTTGCCAGAGTTGGAATTGACCTTAGATTCCAACAAAATGCAAGTAAGAGCGCGGTGAGATTCTCCAACTCGGATACAGAATCAGGCAACTTCTCAATGCAAGTGTGACTTAAATCAAGAACACGTAACGCCTTCATGTGCTCGAAGAAAGAATCTGGAATCTTCCATAAGTAATAATTTTGCTGCAACATCAATGTTGTTAGCCTTGGACACTTAGCTGATGTTCCTTCTGGTATTTCAGCTATCTGGTTCCTCATTAGAGATACCTGTAATATAATTCAAAACAAAAATTTAGACGAAAATTATAAAAAATATCCAAGATCTATCTCATCAAGTTCTATCAAGTTATGTTGCTCAGACTCTTCAAACATGTCAATAGGCACGTGTCTGATCCTGACACGCGTGCAACAACACTTTGAAGAGTTCGAGCAACATAGTATATGTAACAATACCTTGTCCAAATTTTCGATCCATTCATCCTGTTTTGGTGCATCATTAAGCTGAACTCCAGCTTTAACCATAAACATAGGATTTTCATTAGTGATCTTCAATGCCATATCTCTAATCAAACTATGCATTTTCACACTATTTACGCCACTTTCCAACAAACAAACACCTTCCAATCTGTTCAATATTTCATATCCCTCTTCAAATTCTGCCTCGCGACTCTCTTGTTCATCGATTAGTCCCTCTAAAACAAATCGAGTTATCAAATGATCTTTTGAGATTTTCTCATCTTCTGGATACAAACAACAGTACAAGAAACATTGTTGTAACTTTTCATCCTTCAATGAATTAAAACTATATAACAACATCTTCATAACATCATTGTTCTCCTCTTTAAATGATTCTTTGAACGCCTTTCTCCATTCATCAACATTACTCAATTCCAACTCTCTTAACTTTGTAGCCAATGTAACAATCCCAAATGGAAGTCCTTTTGTACAATTATTCACCATAACCTTCGCGATTCCTTCAACTTCTCGCGGAATAATCATCTCATTTCCGAGTTTTTCTATGAACAAACTCCAGGACTCCTCTGCTTCAAGTGTCTTCACTCCAAACGTCCTCTGACATCCCATTTTTCGACATGTTTCGAGTAAACAACTTGTTACTATCAACCTTCCACCTTCAATTTTTAGAGGATTACCTAACATTTTCAAAGGTACATTCTCTAACACATCATCTAGTACTAAAACAAAATCATTTTTCTCTTTGAACGATTCGTGTAACGCGATTGCCCTCTTTTCTTCATCATGTTCCTCTATAAGATCAAATCCAAGTGATTTAGCAATGTCATTTTGTAACACTTTGATGTTGCATTGTTGAGAAACATTAATCCAAATAACTTGGGATTTAGTTTTTTGTTCAACAAGGTGATTGATGAGTTTGGCTAAGGTTGTTTTTCCAACACCTTTAACTCCATATATACCAATACTTGTAATTACTTTGTCTTTCTTTAAACATCTCCAAATTCTTTCACATGTTCTTTTTGTTTCTTGACCAAATAACTTTGTTGGAAAAAATGACTCCCTTGCTTCCATTTTTTTTTCTTCTCCTAGTAAAAATCAAGAAACAAGATCAATCACATTTGCAAAAAATACACAAATAAACTTTTTGAAAAAGACAGTTCGGTACACTAAGCTTTTGTTATGTATGGGGTCTAGAAAAGGGTTGGACCACACAAGGGTTCATTGTACTTTGCATTTTGACTATTTCAACAGCTCGAACTCATGATTGTATGATCACATGCCAATAATTTTATCAGTTTCATAAATGAGGAAAGGACTTTTTTATGAACTACAAAGAGTTCTAAGTTGAGTTTAAGAGAATTATGGGAAGAGTTTAAACATAACAGTTATTGGTGGATTTCTTCCACATCAACAAGTTATTTCTATAAATATTTCAATTTTCTTACTCCAAAGTCCAAATCACTTGTTCTAATCAATATTTAATTACTTATATCAAGCATTAAAAAGGAATCTCGATGGATAAAGTATTTCGCGTTCATACAAAATTTAAGGAAGGATTGCACTTTAAAAGGTGTCAAGTAGATGGTCTACCCTTAATACAAGCATTAGTCCACGGCTCGAACCTATTGCCACATCATCTTTAGACTAAATCCTCCTTTTTATATTACTAATATATGCATAACTTACTTTGGTCTAGTTAAATCAGGTCTCAGGATTCAAGTCTTGAGAATAGATTATTTTTAATAGAAAATAGTTTATCCCCCAAATGGAATTTCCTAATGTGAATTTACATATTAGTTGAATCCCAAAATGGATATTGGACATCATGTGAGACACGAAAAAAAGGAAATATTCGGGCTATATAGCTTCAACATCCCGTTAGTAATTCATCTATCAAGCCAAAGTAAACGAGTGGAATCTAAAAAGTCAGCTGGCTGATCGTTAAATAGATACAAATAGGTGCAACATTAATTACCACTCAAATAGAGCGGCATACCAAGGAAAAAAAGCAAGGAATAAATACAAAAAAATGAAACTTTATGATAACAACATAACATACCAAGGAAAAAAAGCAAGAAATAAATATAACAAAACGAAACTTTACGAAAACAACATAACATACCAAGGGAAAAAAGCAAGAAATAAATATAATAAAATGAAACTTTACGACAGCAACACAACAAAGATGAAATTTAGACTATCTTGTAGTAAATATTAGAAGTTGCAACGTAAGATAAATTAAAGAGAGAGCACCATACCTTAAAAACTTTTATTATCTCTTTAATTCAAAATGTGAATTCAGCTATTTCTTGAGGTGCCATCATTTTTCTGAAAATTAGCCAAACACAAATCATAAAGAAAAAAAAATACTACAAAATAAATGTAAGGAATATTTGTTAAGCAAAGAGTTCAAGATCAATGATTTTATTTTTTTTACTTTTGAAAGAGAATGAAAATGAATTAATGAAAATCATGAAGCAAATAACGTTAGTTATAAACAATGTTTGTGATAAAATGCTTACCACTAAAATCAAGTGGAAAATACCAAGTCAAATATGCTTAATAAAATTATTATTATTACATTGCTTAATTAGTTAGGTACATTATAAAATAACATGTCATGGGAGTAAATGGGGAATGTGTCTAAAAGTTAGAAAATTGATGGGAGGAGTGTCTTCATGCAGGCGACAGTTAATAGATCGAAGGGGAATCGAACTGATATATCAAAAGCTGAACTCATTCAAAGAAGTTCGTATTGTCGGGTTTCAGGTTAGACGCATTCAGTCTTGTGTTCAAGTATTTGGCAGTCTAGTTTATGAGATTATCTGTGATAATATTAACGTTTTAAAACTATATCCAGGTCGCGACATGGATCTTCTTGAACTTTCTGCCTACGGCAATGTCCGTCATGGACAAGATTCTGGGGGATGTAAAATTCAATGAGTCATTTTACGACAATATACTCAAGAATGACATTGTATGCTTCCCCTTAATTATCAGTATGACAATAGTTATTCCTCTATTAAATTTGTAGCTTACAATTATTGGAAGTTTCATATGCTTGTATGCATGATTTTCTTGGGCAATAGTAATAGAGTTACATCATAAATTCTTATATATATAGGAGTTAAAGCTGCAGAGGTTTGTACATATGTAAATCAAATGGAGTCTTATTAACTATGTTATTAGGTTCATATGTACCACTGCTAAAGCACAACAAATTTCTCGCTTTCCACATTTGCCATAAAAGAGACTCAATTTAAATAGCTCAATCAATTCTGGATATGGACTTGTATAACAAAGCTGTCATTTCATCACATTGCAAAATTCATAACATTTTTTAAATTAGGCCAATTGATAGGAGTCAACTTCCACACTAATTGAGTTTTCGGACAACTAAAAAATATATGGTCAATTATTTTAGTTAGGGGTGAACAAAATTGAACCAAAAATCGCATCAAACCACAAATTGAGAAAAAAAATTCGACTAGTAGTTTGGTATTGAAGAAAAAAAAACTGACTATATTGGGTTGATTTGGTTTTAACTTTAAAAAGTTAATTTGAGACCAAACTAACTTGACATTATATATATATATATATATATATATATAATTTTTAAACTAAAAATTTTATGAACCTTTGAACATGTAGACCACTACCCATTCTTTGCACTTCCATATTGTGTTGTATAATTGGTATCCTTATTTTATTTTATTTTTATATATATAAATTAAACTTTGAGAATATTCTTGTTGGTAGATCTTTTAGGGTCTTCCCTATGTACATGTCAATATGAATGCCTAAGCAATTTTTATCGTGCCAAGATAAAGGTATAATAATTAATTCATTTGGTAGAATACTAAGAGCTCCTTTTGTATTAGCTGTCACATTTCACGTTGATCTGAGAGACCAGTGTACTTGTTTATTTTTTTGTTTAAGGTTTGAAAGGTTGAGTTTTATCTAGTTTAAATGTTCAGTTAGCAAAGTCGTAAGTAGAAGGGTCTAATTTATAATCTGAACCAAATAAAAAAGGTCCCTCAAGTCATTCCGCCTATTTAAAAACAAAAGCAGTTAATCTTATTGCAAGAATATTTATTTTTAAGGATAAAATGGAAAAAAATTAATTACTTCTACCTTAATTTTTTAAATTGATTGTATTTTGAGACGAACATTATTAGTAATCTTGACAACTAATATGAGACGGAAAGAGTACTAAAGTATTTGAAAATCAAATGTCCATTACAATTGGTACACTTATACTCTCTATGTTCTATAATATTTGTCAACAGTATTAAAGATGTTCGTTTCAAATATTGGTTAATTTACGAAATTAAGATATAATTAATTAGTACTACTTTTTTCAATTTTCCTCTTAATATTAATTATTTTTGAAAATAGATAATATTGGTTACATTAAAAAGTGTTGGAAAATTAACAATAAAATCAAGAAAATATGATACTACTAATATGAAATGGAGGAAGTATTTAATCAACCTAGCATAATTCCCTTGCAGGAGTGTACAAAACTTAAATTTTCGAAATAAATACTTCTAATAACAACTTATTTCCAAGACAAATTCTTATCAACCATTAGTACAAGAAAAATGAGAAGACAAAAAGACATTCCTCAAATCAACAACTACAACATACCCGATTTAATCTCACAAATGGAGTCTAGAGCAGGTGAAGTGTACGTAGACCTTACATCCTACCTTAGTAGTATAGAGAAGTTGTTTCCGATAAACCTAACCCTCAGCTCAAGGAGGCATGTTTCATAGCACAACAAAAGATCAACATTACAAGAAACTTGCCACACTAAAACAACCTACAGTATGCTGCATCAAATTTTTCTAGTGGTATAAAATAAATCTTAAGAGAGTGATATCAACATCCAAAAAAGGCAATATTAGCCTCATATTTTTAACATTCATCAGTTAGAAGGTATACATACTAAAAGCTTAGTAAAATGCCTCCAAAAACTAGACTTATTTCATAATCTTTCTTCAGTCCTGCCATCCGACGAAAAAAACTACGACAGCAGCTTACAAATCTACAGGTCCAAAGCTGCTCCATTGTTCTTCAGATGTTGCATCAACATGGAGAGTCTCAATCTTTGGTCTTGTAGATGGATCAGGGAAGTTCCAGAAAGAATCAGAATTCTCGAAGAACACGTAAAATAGAATAGCTGATGCCAAAAACAATCCCAAGAGTAATAGATAAATCTGCCACTCTGCAATTGAAGAGATAGGGAGAAAAAAGTCAATCTTGGAGTAAAATGCACGCGATTGTCTCTACACACAGAAAAAAAAAGAGACGGACCTTTCCAATCGGTTGGGACATTTAATTTAGTCACCATTACTCCCCATTGAGAGGAAGTGGTAAGAGCAACCCTGCCAAAATGTGCACCAATGTGGACTAGTAAGCAGACAGAATAGGAGCTTTGATTCTTAAAGAACAGTTGATGAGAAAGATTACGATGACATTAGTAGACACAAGGTTTCAACTTTGAAGAGCGCAAATATAGGCAACAACTAGTGAAGAGAAATTATTATTAGGAAATCATGTCATCAGGTATCACAGAGACCTAGCACCTAAGACGTAGAACAATAACAACTTGGTGGCGTAATCTTTGGCTGCAAAATGTACACTATGAATGAGTGTATACTAAATCAGCTATTTGGTTAGTTATTTAGTTGCTAAGGCATATATATATACGGTTTACTAAATAGTTTTAGATGTCCTTTTGCCTATTATATGTGAGTTGAATTTTGTTTTACTTTCCTTTTTTTGCGTAGGTTTGTCTGCTCCACATTTTTCATATGTGAAGAATATAGATCCAGGTCTACCATTGTTTTTGTTCAACTACAGCAATCGGGGGCTTCATGGTATCTATGAAGCTGCAAGCTCGGGAAAAATGAATATCAATTCACATGGTTGGATGTTAGACGGTTCTGGAAGAACTGAATATCCTACACAGGTTTATGTCATGTTTCCTTCATATGTGATTTATTTGGTTGTGTTAATGCTTTCTTTTTTATGTTTTCTTGTTTATAAATGAAGGTTCAGAAGCGTCTGTGTCTGCACTGCAAACCATTGATGAAAACTTTGTTTAAGCCTATAATTCAGGATAACTATTACAATGATCAGCATCATTTCATGTTTGAGCTAGATCGTGTTCAAGCGGCTAATTTGATATCCAAGTTCTCATCTTGTGTATTGGCTCAATACACAAGAACAGAACTTGGAGATCAAATTAGTAGTTTGAACATGATCTAGCTCAAACATGGAAATGATGCTAATCATTGCAATAATTATCCTGGATTATAAGCTTAAATAGAGTTCCCACCAATGGTTTGCATTGCAGACGCAGACGTAGACGTATCTGAACCTTCATTTATAAATAGAAAGCATATAAAGGAAAACATCAACACAACCAAATAAACCAAATATGAAGAAAATATGACATAAAACCTGTGCAAGAAATTCAGTTCTTCCAGAACCATCTAACGTCCAACCATAAGGATTGATATTCATTTTTCCCGAACTTGCAGCTTCATACATATCATAAAGCTCCCGATTGTTGTAGTTGAACAAAAACAACAATAGACCTGGCTCTATGTTCTTCACATATGAAAAATGTGGAGCAACCAAACCTACACTAAAAAAAGGGAAGTAAAACAAAACTTAGCTCACATATAAGCAAAAAGACATCTAAAACATATAGTAAAACCATGTATATATGTGTGTGTGTGTGTGTCTTAGCAACGAAATAACTAACCAAATAGCTGATTTAGTATACACTCATTCATGGTGTACATTTTGCAGCCAAAGATCACGCCGCCAAGTTGGTTTTTAGTCAAAGTTAATTTTTGTCTTCTTCAACAATCAGTTGATGTGATTTTTGCATGCAAAAGTAGCTCATCAACTAAAGATATTCATGAAAGGTTCTTGGCATCACTAAAGTCGTATGTACTACGTACAAGACCATCACAAAAGCCTCCCTTTTCACCCTTCAGTCACGAGTTACATCTACTACAATTTCCTCTTATATCTCTCCATACATATCTTGTGGAGAAAAAAGACAAATGCTAACACTGTTTAGAATTCCGTGAAAAACATGGCTTCTAAAAGAGAAGGCATAGGCTTCAGAACAGAATCATAGAAAATTATAGCTAGAATTGCACATACCTTTCACTAGGACAAAACTCCAAAGAAGTAATATTAGTACCCAAGTGCAACCTCTTGTGCAAAGAGGAGATCTCCATCTTTGTCACATCAATAACACAGACATCACCATCTTTGCTTCCCCTGCATTTAAATGACAAGCATAGATTCAGATCAATGCATTAGCAAACTAAACGCCGCAGCAGATAGCAATGCAAATGGGGTGGTGCTGTTAAAGCCTATGCGGAATGGAGCAGGTTACAACTTATGTGGATGCAGGGGTTGTTGTGGGTTGAGATAAGATACAACTAGGTGTAAATTCTGAGGTTGAAGTTCTGAGGTTAGACATAAGCAAACAAAATTTCAAGATATAAATTCTGGCTATCATAAATCTTTTGGAATTATTAAAAATAAAAATTATTCTTAGTCAATGAAATTTTGATTTAAAAATATTATTTCTGATCAGTAAATTCTGATCTGAAACTTATTCTTTGGTTCTTTTTTATGTTTTATGTTTCTTTTTGTTTCTGATTTGTTGGATTCAGAAATGAGCACGTAAATGTACAGTCAAGTCAAAACAATAACAAAATGGAAAAGAAGTAAATAACTATCTGCTCTCCTTTTATAGTTTAGATACTAAAATTCAAATTTTCTCAGGGATAAAAAAAATCACACACTGTTTGAAAGAGCAACTCTTCTAAACTGATTGGTATAGTTATCTTTCATCATCTACATCATTTCTATCAGCTTTTAAAGAGGGAAAAGGCATAAGTACCCTACTGAACTACGACCAAAGTTCCAGGGACACTTTATCTTTACCCTATTACCACCCTATACTATTTTACCACCCTGAACTATTTTAAAGTGTAATAAACACACCCTTAAACGTAATAAGAATGATTCCACTTTTTTCTGGTGGGGAGAAGGTTTTCCCTTAATGGAGTA